TCCAGGCTGTAGGCTGGTAACCATGGGAGAGACAAGACGAGAACAGCTGCGACAACGGCTTTGAGAGCTCAGACGCACACTCCTTTAGAACGCGGCAGGAAATGGAGTCTGGCCCGGACGCTTTGGATACTTCAAGACACCGGAGCTGCTTGAGCACTGCTGATTCCCGGAAACGGATTTGACTCAGGATGGCGTCAGTGCGTGGTGGGAAAGGCGGGAGTGTGTCTTCAGTGAGATCATTTGGGATGCTGCACTTCTCTGCGAAGAATGATGCGAAACAGTCAGCCTTGGAGGAGGCCGTGGTACATTGCTGACCATCGGGCCCCTTTAGGACAGGAATATCAGATGTGCGGGATAGCCCTCCTGCACGCTTCATGTTTGACCACCATGCTTTGTCACGTAGGTTTCCATTCGACAGCTTGTTCCGCAATGAAGATACATGAGCCTGCTGCGCTGCATGGAGCACAGTGGCAACTCTCAGGCTGGTTGCAGTGTAGGTATCAGACAATTGCAGATCAGTTGGGTGTGCACGGGTGTGTCGCCAAGCACGGTTTCTTGCAGACACAGCTGTACTACATTCAGGAGTCCACCAAACAGGGTCACACGTTCTGACTGACAGATGCTTCGATGGGATGAAGCGATCCATGCCCTCCTGGATGCGGGAAGTAAGTTGTACGCATGCGTGTTCTGGGTGGTGGCTAAGAATGTGCTGCCAGTCTGTCTGACGAATAAAATGACGCGTGCGGCCCCAGTCAGCCTGGTTGTAGCGCCAGACGCGGCGTCGAGACACGGGCTCAGTACGGAGCGTGACTGGGCTGAACTCAGCAAGAATCACACAGTGGTCTGACTTGCCCAGGGGTGGAAATGCCTGTACTGTGACGGGGTGTGGCAAGTTTGACAGGATGAGGTCAAGAGTGTTCTTTCCTCTTGTTGGCTGATCAACATGTTGGATCAGTCCGTGCGTCGCACATATTTCTTCCAGGCGTTGCCCAGCAGTGGTAGTCTTGGTGCTACCAAGCCACTCAGTGCTGTGGACGTTGAGGTCGCCAGCCAGGATGACTTGGGCGGGGTGCGGAACGGCATCCAGGCAGTGGTCTAGGTGCTCCAGTAGGGAGACGTCAGAGTCGCCACTCGAGCCAGAACGATACACAGCTCCCAGGGTGATATCGCTGCCAGACTGGGACTGGATGGTGCACCATAGAACTGCGTTCTTAGAGTCCACAGGAGTGGCATGGAGGTCGATCTGTGCAACTGCGAGAGTAGACTTGCACCATATGGCAACGCCTCCACCCTGAGCAGTGCAGTCCATCCGCAGGGGCTCTCCGTAACCTGGAATGGTAGACTCTGAGGCGGTACACTTATCTGGAGTGAACTTAGTCTCTGTTACTATCGCAACATCAGGTTTATGTGCGTTCAGGGCATGCTGAAAATCACCAAATTTGCTGAGTAGCCCAAATGCATTTGTTAAAAAGACTCGCATTAAGTAGACTCTTGCGCAGCACACTGTGTTGTTTCCTGGTCTTCAGTGTTGGACATGCCGTCACCCGAGGTTGTCTCACTCTCTGCACCGTCTGGCCTCTTGCTGTCCGGGAGGGCTGGTGGCGAGGACCGTTCATAAGAGCGAGATTTTCCAACAGCCGGTGTCAGTGGAGGTGGCTGGTGTCGCACCCCATTGGCAGCATCCTGGCCAGCTGACTGGGTGGCTGCCTGCAGAACTGACATGGTCCGCTCTGCATTGTCAGCATCCTGGCCAGCTGACTGGGTGCTCGACTCCGATACACTGGGACCCACCGCGTTGTGCGCAGAGGAGTGCTTACGGCCAGCGTCAAACTTCCATGGCCTGCAGTACAGTGGCCGGGGCCAGAATTCCGGGTCAGTCAGGAGATTCACAAGAGATGCATCCACGGCTACTCGTGCTGACACCCGGCCATGTGGAGAGGTATACATACTGCACGTGAGCACTGAGATGGACTGTGGCTCGGGAAGAGCAGCTGCTGTGACTTGAATGTATTCTTTCAGACTGGATTCGGTGCAGGATGTGCTCAGGTTACCAATGTACACCACGGCACGCTTTGTCTGTGGTGGCTCTGCTGCAACTAGCTTCCATGCGTCACTGTGGTTCCGGGGTGTGGTCCGCCGCCGCAAAACTCGTTTGGACACGACCTCCCGGAAACCGTCACTGTCGCATTCAGGAGTACTCAAATTGCTGCTTGTCTCTGCATCAGCAGGAGGGTTCGGGGTGTCAGGCTCCATGTCGACAACTTGCTCGGCATCAGCAGATGTAGCACTGTGCATGTGGTCATTTTGATTTTTTTCATGTTTTTTGATTTTTTTTGATTTTTTCGAGTTTTCCTTGGCCTTGTTGATCCCAATCGGATGCCTGGCGTCTTGAGTAATCTGGGCCAGTTTGCGGACACCAAGCAGTTCGTCTTTCAGATGGCAAATGCTGTCAGTAAGGTCGCTTATCCGAGAGAGCAAGCGGGCCTCCCTGCCTTTGCTCTCCTCAACCTCAGCACGCAGCGCGTCCACAAGAAACTGGAGTTTGTCGTCCATGGCGGAGAGGAGCTCATTGCTTCGGGTACTGCTGCCCTGACCACCTGTGCCCCCTGAAGGCACGACTGAATCTTGTTCGCCGTCCGGCATGGCTGTATGCCGCCTGGGCAAACAAGGACCTTCGGGAGACAAAAATACTCAACTTTTCGAAAAATTCAAAAAGTACCGTGCGAGTGATTTCAACCCTGCCGAAAAGGCCTGTTGCTAGTCTCTAACTACTACCTAATTAACTACCTACCAGTAACTGCCCCTCTCCAGACCGGCCTGCTGCCGGCTGGCTACACAACCTGCGAAAGCTACGGAGCTCGAAAAAAGGATACTCTCTCTCCAACACTTGCATTAAAAAAGTATGTCAATGGGAATATGATCCAAGAGTCCACAACCCCAAGGGAAAGGTGTGATGGACTCTTAGTATGATCTGTGCGCAAAGAACTGCAGTTGAGTCATTGTTTTAGCAATATGGCTGCGTTCTGAGTTTTAGCACATTCTTAGACTCTTATTGTACTGGATCATGGTGTGTGCACTTTATAACACGTGTACATGTATATAACAAAAGCTGAATTACAGAACGGTAGAAAATGATATGTCCCATTCTCAGCTTTGGTTTCTGGCGTTCTTTTAATTATTAGTATTTCGAGCTGCATGTTCTTGGGCTCCGTGTTCTGTAAAGGGGAAGTTTAGCCTAAAATCAAATTTTCACCAGTTGTAATCTTCGGGGCGCTGAGTCGGGTGGTCTTGGTCCGAGGAAGCTGAGACGCTCCCTTCCTCCTTTATTCCCAATCGAACTCGCGCACTTCCACCGAAATTGGGTGACTGCGCCCTACTAGATGGGGATTTGTATGCAAAATGTCACCAAAAGCGCCATTTCGTTCTTATAAAAGCACGGATGACCGCGATTGGCCCATATGTTGTCTTTTGGACGCTGACTCGACTGGTTTTGGTCCGAAAAGGCTGCGATGCAGCGTTCGGCCCCTATTCTCAATCGAACATCCTGAACAAGCGGTCACGTGCTCCTGCGTACACAAGTTACCTGGTCACCGCGCCAGCAGGCTACAACTTTCACAACAAGGTTCGAAGGTTCAACTCGAGTGATAGAAACTCGCTCAAACATGCTGTAAGTTGGAATAAGGGCCGAATGCTACATCACAGCCGTTCAGGATCAACACCAGTCGACTCAGCGTCCAAGAGACAACTAGTACAACATATGGGCCAATCGCGGTCATCCGTACTTTTATAAGAACGAAATGGCGCTTTTAGTGACGTTTTGCATACAAATCCCCATCTAGTAGGGCCACCCAGTTTCGGTGGAAGTGCGCGAGGTCGATTGGGAATAGAGGAGGAAGGGAGCGTCTCAGCTTCCTCGGACAGAGACTATTGGACTCAGTACGCCGAAGACTACAACTGGTGAAAATTTGATTCCAGGCTTAACTTCCCCTTTAAAGCGAGGCTCTACTGTACATGTAATGTAAAGAACTTGGTGTGCCCCCGTCAATTTCTACCTGTAAACAACTTCAGCACATACACCAGAATACAGCGCTGAACCAATTCAATTACTTCGAGTATCATTATCATACACATGGACCACATGATAGTACATTCGAGCGCAGGTATTCCCGGGGGGGGGGGGGGGGGGGGGACTTTACATTATTTCACTTCCAAACACATTGCACGTTACATGCAATTTCGATTCCTTCACTGTACATGTAGATCTACATGAGAAAAGGAACAAAACAGTCCAGCTGCAGCATGCATTCTTGATCAATAATCTGGCACACCCTGGTTTCAGTCAACCACATGGTACTGTAGCAACTAAAAGTGCTTATAGCCGAGACACAGGCAGGAAGTGCTATAATATTATGTATGCTTTCTTTTCCATCTCCATCACAATGAGGAAACTCAATACAAGTGCAGACTGCCTCTTTTACGGCCAAAGAAACACAGTGTATGGTGAAAAAGTGTATTAGGAAAAAATCGCCAAATTTTTGGGCAAGTTACTATCAAGACAATTTTTGCTTTATGAGCAACCTAGGACAATGGACTTTACATACCTGAGGTCTGGGCAGTGTCCGGTAGTTCTTTTTTGGTTCTCACGCCATCAAATATTTTGGCATCCAAAAATGATAAATTCTGTACGACGCAAACTGTGGCTCTGCTGCAACATGACGGAAAAATCTCTGGCGGAACGGCTTCCAGATTTTGTTTAGGGACTATCCTAGCCCTCAGCAGGCCAAGTTACAATAGCATTCATGAAAGTTTTCTATGCCAAATCGAAGACGATCAAAATGGTGATTCTGCTCAAAATTGGTCACAGAAAAAGTCGAAAAAAGCGGCGTCGTCATCTTCATTTTGCATACAGATTCGGGTCCTTTTTGGCCCTTGCGGCCTTGGCGCATGGACTGTATAACACGGACCATGAACACACGTCACGGTGACGTGAGATTCAAACGGTTTTGCTTTTTGGTTGAATGTTTGTATTCATTTTTGGTTACCGGCCTCTAAAATTTGTCGTGATAAAGCAGCTCCAAATGGCTTCTGAAGCAGCGGCCCCTGGCCATGGCGTGGAGACGGCGACACTGGCCATGTCCTGATTTTGGTTTCCGGAGGCCAGGTTCGGCTGTGTGCACGGCGTACTGCGCACCAAAGTTGGCTACGCGGGGGGACAAGATGCCCGACCCGCCTACCATCGAATGTAAGCAAACGAGCAAAGGAAAGACGTTAGTTTGGAGAATCTGAGATGGACGTTTGTGGTTTGCCAAGTGCGAGCAACTACTCCTGTCTTTGGTGCGAAATGTCGGCACACATTCATTCAAAATAATTTAATAGATCCTCAGTAAATTTTCTTTTGTGTCCAAATTTAAATTTAAAAAAAGGTTTTGGAAAAGCACTGAAGCATTGGGGACGGAAAACTGTTGGTACGAACCCAATTTCATCATGTTTTAGGGCTTTCTCCGGAGAGTGATGTCCTCCAGATGCAACTGTGCGTTTTTTCGCACCCCGGGGTCGGAGTGCCGTGCGCGAGCGTGGTGCCCAAGTGCGGTGCACGAGTGTATTGTGCGAGTGGTGCGGGCGCACACAGAAAAAAATGCCACCTCTTCTTTCCTCAGTGCATCACTTTCTCATGAGAGTGAAGTTGCAGCTGGTTTATTGTAAGTCAACACATATTCGGCGCGTATTTATTTTCGGCTATTTTCCAGCCTGGGCGGCTTGTACCTACCGTAATGTCGCATATGAAAGCAAGTGCTTATGGCCGTACAGGCCGGGGTTCAAACCATGCTTCTGTTCAAGATATGCTTATATTCGAAACATGCTTCTACGTCAACATCTTTCAGTCTACACTGTGCAGTGCACATTGTCACGTGTGTAGTGTGCAAGTACGGGATACATGCATGCTTCTATTAAAATTGTGCGTCTGTGCCATGGCGCGTTTTTAAAATCGGTTTCTGTTCGAGTCGTGCTTCTATACGGGTCATGCTTTTATACGGGTCATGCTTCTATACGTGTCATGCTTTTATACGTGTCATGCTTTTATACGGGTCATGCTTTTATACGGGTCATGCTTTTATACGGGTCATGCTTTTATACGGGTCATGCTTTTATACGGGTCATGCTTTTATACGAGTCATGCTTTTATACGAGTCATGCTTTTATACGGGTCATGCTTCTATACGGGTCATGCTTCTATACGGGTCATGCTTCTATATGGGTCATGCTTCTATACGGGTCCTGCTTCTATACGGGTCCTGCTTCTATACGGGTCATGCTTTTATACGGGTCATGCTTTTTTACGGGTCATGCTTTTATACGGGTCATGCTTTTATACGCGACACTGCAGTATATGTTATCACAGCTGAATTCCCGATTCTGTTGGTCAATGTTTGTGCTTCAGCGGTGACCACAGCGAGTGCATACAAGTTGTGTTCGACCCAGCCCTCATCACGTTCCAGCGCATTCTCGACGTGTTCTGGACGGGCCACGACCCGACGGTGCCGATGAATCGCCAGTACCTGTCCACTATCTTCTACCATAGCGATGAGCAAAAGAGAACGGCGGAGGAGAGTCGTGACTCGCGGCAAGCAGTTCTAGGGAAGAATATCGTCACACGTATCAAGCCACTCGTCACGTTTTACGACGCAGAAGAGTAAGCCCGGGTGGCGTGCAATGGTTTCTGTTGTGTGTGAGCTTAACGAGTTTGAGTTGCGCTGTTGTGTACGCATTATACCGTGTTTCCCCGATCACAAGGCGCACTCGATTATAAGTCGCACTCCCCCTTTCAGGTTCGAGCTATATTGTTTTAATACACTCTCACTAGTAGGAAGTCACACTCGATTGTAAGTCGCACCCCCTTCTTCGGCCTTGAAGTTCATTGTAAAAAGGCTCAACTTATATTCGGGGAAATACAGTATGTGTGTGTGTCCATGTGTGTGCGTGTGTGTGTGTTTGTGCGTGTGTTTGTGTGCATGGACGCATGCGCGCATATGCATGTGCGTGTGGTGTATGGACGACTCTGGATCTTTGGGCATCGATGGTTTGGAAACCTGCTTGTACTTGTGTACTGGATGTCACAGCCTGATTGATTGATCGATTTTATTTGGATTCGCGGGACCAAACGAGCAGGAGTGCTCAATAACAGGGTAGCGAATGGTTGAGTTGTGCTAGGACTATGTGACAATGTAGTGTGTGCGTGGGGTGGTGGGGGCTACGGAGGCCCGATACAATGTAAGGGGATGGGAGGAGAGAAGGCCAGCGGAGAGTCAAACTCAGAAGAGGGAGGAGAGAATAGCTGAAGTACACGTTTACTGTGCGAATTCGAATAAACCAAACGAACAGCAAAACGAGTGCACAACTCACGAGAATAAAGAGGACTGAAGCACAGAATTGAACTCCTGAAGTACACAGCTGACGAGAATAAAGACAGGAGCACAGAAATGAACGGGAGGCAGTCTACGAAGTGGTGGTACCATCGGTGCATGCACCACGGTACATTATCACATTATCGGATTTGCGAAGTCCGTGGGTACTGAATACCATGGTATGGCCAACTGTGTAGCAGTCTACAACGACTTACGTGTAGGGAAAGGCAGCTCGGCGGAATGCTGGGATGTTGCCCATGGCTCGCACCGTGTCAGGTATATGGTTCCACAACAGGCAACCGCAAGATGCCGGTTGGCATTGGCCTGCTTGGCTTCTGGCTATTGGTTGTTGTAGGCCCAGACTGCGCTGAAGGCGAGTTGCTCCGCAGTTGCGAACAAACAGTGCCTGCAGAGCAGGACTGGCACGGTTATGAACGCACCGCCATACCAGCACGAGCAGTTTCTGGCGATATACCTCGTCCATGCGATAAACAGAGAGCCTCTCCAAGAGGTCACTGGCCGTGGTAAATCGTGGTCGTCTGAACACCGCCCTTGCTGCGTGGTTTCGGGCCACCTGCAAGTGGTTTAGCTAGTTGTGGGTCAAGCCGGAGCCATATGCTGACGATCCATATATTAAATCCGGCATGATGACAGATAGGAAGTACTTGCTTCGGCTAGCTAGAGTGAGGCAGCGTCGCGCCCATCACAGACTACCGATCTTCCTAGCAGTGCGTGTGATGCACCGGTCAACTTGCGGTTGCCAGGCCATTTGTTCATCGATCAAGACGCTGAGGTATTTCGCGCTGGTGGTGTGCGGAAGGACATCATTTCGACAGCCTGGTGCCAAGTTTTCAGAAGATAGACACTCATCCACGTAACCTTCCACCCCCCCCCCCCCCCCCCAAACGAATGATACCGTATTTCCGCAAATAAAAGACCGTCCTCGTATACAACGACTTCCTCGAATACAAGGCCGGGGCAGGGGGCGATTGAAAAAATACAAGACCGTCTCCGATTAGAAGACCGGGCCTACTAAATGAGAAGTAGAAAATATAGAAGACCGTGTTCAAACTGTGGGAAAAAAAGAAGACCGTGTTCAAACTGTGTAGAAGAAAATGGAAGAACGGGGGTAAAACTGTGTGGCGAAAAATAGGAGACCGGGGTCAAACTGGGTTGAAAGAATAAAAGACCGTCCTCGAATACAAGACCGTCCTCAATTATAAGGCCGGGTTAGGACGAGTTTGAAAAAATAGTAGACCGGCCTACTATTTGCGGAAATACGGTATTCGTTTCAGGGACGACTAAAAACAATTCCACCTCCACCACTTAATTATTTACGCACATCAAGTACCGTACTGGCAATATATGTTGCCGCGTAACGCGTAACGCAGGGGGGTGCGGCGTAACGCGCGACCAGGCTAGTGCGACAAATTTTCGTTGAGTTCGTAACGCGCGTCCGGCGGGGTGCGGCGATCTTTTCATTGCAGTTTGCAAAAAATGATACGGCAATAGCAAAAAAATGATGCGGCAATAGCAAAAAAGTGATGCGGCAATAGCAAAAAAAGGACTGCGGCAATATAGAAACCTGTGTAACGGCTCCTGTGCGACTTTGCATGTAACGCCCTGCGTGCGGCAAACATGTGCCAATGTAACGCTTCATGGCCTCACTGCGGCAACATATATTGCCAGTACGGTAATACAAATAAAAGGGGGTTTGTAAACTGACAACCGCTGTATTTAGTTGCTAATCACACTTTAGCTGAACATTCTTTTATTTATGATGTCGATTAATTATTGACGTTTCGGGCCAGTCACCCATCGTCAGAACCAGCTAAAGAGTGAATAGCAACTAAATAGAGCGGTTGGCAGTTGGCAAACCCCCTTTTATTTACAATGCAGTTGGGTGATGTCTTCCACTTTCTGAATCAAGTAATACAATGCAGTTGCGTGATGTCTTCCACTTTCTGAATCAAGTAATACAATGCAGTTGCGTGATGTCTTCCACTTTCTGAATCAAGTAATACAGCCTGCCTTTCTAATTCTGTCTGTCTTTGCCCACTCCAGTTACCATCAGAAGTATCAGCTGAGGCAGATGGCACCGGAGGCGCTCGCTCTTCTCGGACTGTGGACTGGGGATGAGGTCAAGGGCTCGCTGACCGCGGCCCGGCTCAATGGCTATATCAGCGGCTACGGTAGCGAGGAGGACTTCGACCGGGACTGGCCGCGTTTCGGAATCCATGACGACAACGTGATGGGAATAATACGGATGAGGTGTGCGCCCGCTTCTCAGCTTTAGTCCCACCGAGTGTTTGTCACATGATGAACACCACTGGGTGCAATAGATTGGCGAGTCACAAACGGAGGGAGTGAATGCTTTCACTGCTGTCACGTTGCACACCGTCATATTCAGCCGAGTGGAATTATTCTGGCTGAATGATGCAGCGCTGCCGTGTCTTCATAACTAATGGTGCTTTCCTCAGGCCATGTCGTCATGCCTATCGTTTCTTTGCTCAGGCCGTTTCGTCATGGCTACCATTTGCCGTGCTCGGGCCGTATCGTCATGACTACCGTTGCGGTGCCCAGTCTTGTGCCTGGCCAGCGTGCGGAGATCGCGTCCTTGTGTGCAACCTCTGTCGATCGTTATTTTCTGATAGTGCATGACTGTGCAGTGGTGGCAGTGACTTCAGACCTCGCCCTGTTTATGATGTCCAGTTTTGCACAATCAGCATTGTTCGCTGACGCTGCCGGTCGGAAATTTTGTGGGTGTTGCTGAATCATGGCCATGCTGGTCATAGATGTACTCAAGTGGATATTAGTGCTGAGTCGTTATCATACTCATTGGTTTGAGAGAATGATGCAGTCATTTTTGTTGGTTATACTGTAAATTAATAGATATTAATGATTCGGTGGCCATGTGTGAGTGAAGTGTGTGTACTTGTCCTGTGTAAGCTCGACCGAGCTCAGTAGCATATCACCTTCGTAGGTGGAGTGGCAGCGGTGTGTGTGTGTGTGTGTGTGTGTGTGTGTGTGTGTGCGCGCGGGTGTGTGCATGTGTGTCGTGCTTCTCTTGCGACGGACGTATACATGGTACGTTGTACGTGGTGTGTGTGTATGTGGAGGGGGGGGGGGGGGGGTGCCGGGGTTTTGTTCTGTGAACTCATCATTTGATCAAAGAGGCAGCTGTGAAATGTCTTTCGGTGTGGGAAGCTCTCTGTGAGTGTGATTCTTGGTGTGTTGTCTTTTCGGCGAGGCATGCTTTTCAACGAAATATCATACTGTGAATCGTCGTTGGAGGTAGAGTCGTTCTGTGAACTTTTTTTCGACAATCGGTCGCACACTCTGGTAACCATGGTGACTGGCTGTAGAAATCTACCACTACTGGCACTGTAGTAGTACTACTACTACAGTGCCAGTGCTGGCCAGAGAAATCCATCCTTTTGGATAAAGTACAGTAGCAGCGCGTTCCAGTGCACAGAACACAACTCATATTTTTATTGTGTAGAGCCCGCCGCTATTTTATTCGTGGGCTGCCTACGGTTGGATTTCTTTGCCCATGGCATGCCAACAATGGTACACCACTCCATGGGCATGGCATGGCATGGTTACCAAGTTAGTAATAGTTAGTAACTACTCACAGTTACACCATGCATGGTTATTGCCATATTGGTATGTCTACACGTGTCGTCTACATCATACATGTGCAATGCCTGTGGCTGTGGCCATGCGCCCGCTAACTGCACAGATCAGACTCAAGTCAAGAGCCAAGTACTATAGTACTAGTCTGTAGTAGAACTTCTTTGTACAACCATGTACATTGGTACATGTATTGTAATAATTAATTATTAATTATCCTGAACACTGGTTCTCCACCTTGTTTCATGCTGTCAATCTAACAATAACCTGATAACCTTGAACGTCATGTAGATCTACATGAATGTAGTTCAGATCGCGTGATCGCGTGAGCATGCACTGAGCAGCGGGTATGACTATGATCAAGACAGGGCCTGTCACCATGGTCACTTGTCAGTGTCACTGAGTGAGAGCTAGGGACGGTAACCATAACCATGATAGCCCAAGAGTATGCAACGCGAAGGACTAAAGGGACCGTCACTTAATTTTTGCCGACTACCCGCCAAAAAAATCCTTTCGTTTCACGTGTCAGACACGTCCGCGAGCGCGTACGATCGACTCGCGCGCGCCCGCGCTACCTTTCACGTCAGGCTATCTGTTCACGCCACATGGCTGGATAGCGCGTACATGCAAACATGATTGAAGACTTGCAAAATCAATTTTTTTCCAAGTCCAGGCGCTAGGCCTAGGCAGCACTAATCAGTCTAAATCTAATGCCTAATGCCCAGGCAGCTGACTTTATTTTCGGAGAAACACTACTCATTGTAGTAAAAAGTAACAATGCGATATCATCTAGGAAGGATCGCTACCCTAACGCGAAGGAAAGGCCTTGCGCGGCTGCCCTACGAAGTGTTGAAGAAAGACTCATCAAAGTTTAATAGTTGGTGGACGAACATCTCGCTGGCGCCGGAAAACTTGGCCCCCAACGATGGTATTTGGTGAATCATCAAGCATAATGTCTTGTAGCAGTGCTCACCGAGGAAGGAGAACGCTCTAGTCGCTGCTGTTGTCCGTTTCATCCACGTTGGGCGTTAGCTGCACCGCGCCTATTGTGTTTTAGTATTCCATGGACACACATTAGCATTCAGAGCGATTGTGGAGCCACAATTTACTTCACACAGCGTTGTATTGTCCACGAGCGCAAACTTCATTATCAGCAGTACCTGTTACTCTTCATCCTACATGTAGACTTGGAGTATACACGGCCTTGTCACGACAGCGACAGCTCTACAGAGTGTTCAAGTGAGAAACATTAATTTCTTTTGTTGGTGGCCGAATAAATGGCTGGTTCCGAAAAAACACGGCCTGCACCGATGGTGTTTGGTAGATCATCAAACAGGGTGACCAGCAGTGTTCACCGAGGAAGGAGAATGCACTCGCCACCACTCCGATTCATCCAAGTGGGCGTTAGCTGCGCCGCGCCTATTGTGTTTTAGTATTCCATGGACGCACACTAGCGTTCTCAGCGATTGTGGAGCCACAACATATCTTCATGCGGCGTTGCACTGTCCAAGAGCAGAAACGTCAGCAGTGACCCATCATCATACATGTAGATTTGGAGTATACACACCATGCGCCAATGGGCCTTGGCACAACAGCGGCAGCTCTACGGAGTGTTCAAGTGAGAAACATTTGTTTCGACTTTTGGTGGACGAACAAATCGTCGGTGCCGAAAAACGTGGCCTGCGCCGATGGTGTTTGAACCATTGAGGGCTCCGGAAGCAGCAGCTGAGCCAGATCAGCCAGTCTTGCCAACTCTCAGTTGCCGGACTCCGTGCTGCAGCTAGCAGCACTGGCACCAGCCGGAAATATTTTTTCCGCCGATACCCGTTACTTCCAGTTCTGTCAAGGGCATGACTGGAATCCATTGCCAGGTGATGACTTTTTACTTTATGTGTTATTTTGCTGCCGAGTTGTTCAGAACTTTTCAGCCCCGATCTGTCCATGTCTACATGTCGGCCATCCGCAAACTTCATGTGGAAGTTGGCTTTACCTACCCGTCAGGCCCAATGACTCTCCTCGCAAGGTTCCTGTCGGGCATCAACAGGTCATCATCGACACAGCGTTATCGCCTGCTGATAACCACTCAACTTCTCAGGGAGATTAGCCGGCATGTTGCCTTTCCACGGATGTGGCACCCTCATGACAAGGCCATGCTAAGGGCAAACTGACTGCTTTATTTTAGCTTTACATTACCGCAGTCAGTCCAGCACAATACGCCAATCGTATTTCACTATTACTCGCGTGTCATAATTGGGGATATGGGCTGCTCCGCTCTATATCCCTGATATGCCAACTAGACGAAAAGTGTGTTCTGAGCCTGTATCGCGTATAATACTAATAGGCTCATCGTAAAACAAATAATAAGTCTTAAAAATCAGGGTTCACGTGACACTCGGGCTCCAGCCAAGTTTTCCGCATCCGCAGGAACGCTACCCCCCTCTTGAATCATAGCATAGTGGACTCTGCAATGAACAGATTATGAAACTCCCTGCAGATTTACTACGGTCATTTCTGGTGACTGGTCTTGGGGCACCGTGGAAGCTGTGACTGGTTGCCAAGTTTTGTTTTGTGACTGATCATGGGGCATTTGTGACTACTTCGAAGCACAGCTCTGATTGATCACAGAGTCTTACTGTTGTGAATATTTATATCGATTGAGAAGTCAAGCAGCCACGGGGCGCTGGCCTTGCAGCTGTGAGTATGCATACGGTACATATTCACATGACTCTATTGTATGCTGGACACTGCTGGTCCATTGTTGCAGTGTGTAAGTGAACTGCAGAACCTATTCCGTGATGAAACACCTACTCCTGAAAGACTGAATGTTTGAGCTAATAGTCTTTTACTTCACTCTCATGCTGCTCATATAATTATACCATACGCCAGAAGACCCTAAGTTACAAGTAGTTCTAAGATTTGGTGGACCATGTGACCATGTGGTACTTTCACTCTACAGCCAAGTCAACCTCTTCGTGAACACACAGGGTTTTCCTCAGACACAAGCGAATGGTTTACTCCACTCTGGAGAAGAACACAGTTTGCTCTCTCAAACACCAACCGCAGATAACTACGGAATGTACTTCAGAAGTAGGAAGTGCAACAACTGCTAGAATATTGAACTGTCGTCCACACAAAACAAAATTTTAATAAAGACAACTGAAAACCAAACACACATGCAACTGCCAACATGCATGTAACAGCAACTGCAAGCCAGAACTACAGACTCCGCGCAGGGAGGAACAGGGGAAACAGAGCTAACGCTTCCGACTCCGAGAGCTTCGAATAGCAGCGGACAAAACAATCCATCAACCTTGCGTGTCACCTTGCGCTACCGCAAACGAACACCTATGGATGCACAGTGCAGCACAGACTCAGTGCATGCACGGTGTAATAACTGGAGTACATGTAAACCGACAACGGTCACCTTGCACCCTATGCAGTAAGTTACATAGGCGGTGCCAACAAAAGAGCAGGGTTCGTGTATCGTGCACACTCCAATGGCACAGCAGAAAATGTTCTCACCAACAGCCACTGCTAGCTGTTTTGTCATCTTGCTGTGCCAAATGATGCTGTATAGACGCGCCAAGCAGAAATGGACTGCTTATGAGCGTGAACAGGCTGGATGGGGTGACTGATGGACTGTCGGAGTTGGCGAACCACAGAAATCGTGTCGCAACTCTGTATGCTGGGTTGGCACTGATTTGTAAAATGGCCTTCTCAGTATCGCAGGTCATGACGATTGGTGGCAGGCAAAATCGTAGAACAATGATGAATTGCCTAATGGCTAGGTCGTTGTTAGTAAGATTGCCTGAATCCTGGATGTCAACACAGTCTAGGTCCCACAGATCTGGGATGGTGCAGGAGTCGGAAGTTGCATCAGTTAGAGAAACGATAGCTGGCATGGCTGCTCATCGGCGTAGCTGAGTGCTTGGAGTGACGTGTTCGGCCAGTCACCACAAAACCGACTGTGGTAGGCAGAAACTGTAGTCCTGGCGGAAGTCCTCTGGTGCTCCACGTCAACTGAGACTCCCAGAGGAAATCTGCACCGATCAAGACGACTGACTATCTTACGGTCAATGGCGATACTGGTTGATGCTGCACTAGCTGCTGTTGCGCTAGATGCTGGTACCTCGTCAGCCACAAGCTGGTCAGCTACTATGTTGGTACTTCTGTCAGATTTCTGTTGAGATTCAGGGCAGATCGTGACATGATGGTGACTCTGATTGCCGGGTGACCCATGCGAGAACACACATTACACTTGCGGGTGGCCTTGCACTGAGTTGACCGGTGCCCTGTGCGCAAACACACAAAGCAACGCTTCTGTTCAATCAGTTATTCTTTCCGCTGTGCTACTGTTGTGTATTTCGCGCAGCTCTTGTCCAGGTGAGATCCGCCGCAGAATGAACACCCTCTCATACTGCTGGCATTCCAGTTAACATCAGACCGCTTCCTTCTGGTGAACTTGCATGCGCCTGTCACCAGTGCCCCTGCAGAATAGTGAGTGACATCTTCTGCTGTAGTACCGCCTGTGTTTGTGCGGCGCAGAAAGGCGTCTTTCATGATAACATAACGCTTCAGTGCTGTTCTGAAGTCATTCAGTTTCCATTGTGTCCCTGCATCTGAAAAGCCTCGCGATTCGTCCAGTTGAATCAGCGTTCGGCATGATCCGTATCTTGGTCACAGCACCGTGTGACGATCTGGTGACATCAGACGGATATAATACACAAGAGACAATTGTGATATTTCTACGTTGTGTTTACTTCAGATACATAATCTAAATAAAAGGGGGGTTGTCAACCGACAACCGCTCTATTTAGTTGCTTTTCACTCTTTAGATGAAAATTCTTTTATTAATTATGTCGAAAAATTATGCGGTTGTCAGTTGACAACCACCCTTTAATTTACACTGCAGTTGCGTGATGTCCACCACTTTCTGTACATAATCTAAGAGTACTAACAGCCACTGACTTCCAACTACCAAGGGAAAGCAAGCCCAAGCGCAGGAGAACCGTGCGCGCGCGGGTACGTGACATGTAATATCGTAGTAGAGCTGGCAGGCAAGGCATGATCAGGGGTTCAGGCCCTGCCTGTAAACGCTCTGATTGGCTCAAACCCTGGCAACAATCACGTGACATGTCTGAAAGTACAAGTAGTTGCGATTTATGCTGAAGTTCTAACTAACGGAACACGTGCAGCGCTACACCATGAACCGTGTGGAAACAAAAATAAGTAGAGGAGACACGGGATAACAGACATGAACTCAGGGTCAAACTGATAACTGTGAAACGTGAATGGATGCAGTATATGGAGACAAAACAAAGTCACAGAATTCAGTACGTAACAAGTACTACACACTAACCTCGTACATGAGAATGTCACGACACCATTCGAATTAGCTCTTACACCCCACTTATGTTTCAGTCAGTAAGAGTACACATGCGTACTTACGTTGACTCTATTTTATCTGACTTGTCCAACACCATCGTTGTGAGCCTTCGGCACTTGGGAATACACAGGACGGATAAGATAGCAGCAAGAGCATCTCCCCGCTCTGTGAACACAGCTCAGACGCCATGCTTCATGATTGTGTGCCCATGGAATACAAGGACACAATAGACTTGGTGCAGCTAACGAAATGGATGAACGGTCGACGGCCTAAGTGTTCTCCTTCCAAGTTCCTCGATCAACACTGACAGTCACCACATACCATGCTTGATGTTTCAAGCACCATCGGCGCAGGCCACGTTTTTCGGCACCGACGATTTGTTCGTCCACCAAAAGTCGAAACAAATGTTTCTCACTTGAACACTCCATAGAGCTGCCGCTGTTGTGCCAAGGCCCATTGGCGCATGGTGTGTATACTCCAAATCTACATGTATGATGATGGGTCACTGCTGACGTTTCTGCTCTTGGACAGTGCAACGCCGCATGAAGATATGTTGTGGCTCCACAATCGCTGAGAACGCTAGTGTGCGTCCATGGAATACTAAAACACAATAGGCGCGGCGCAGCTAACGCCCACTTGGATGAATCGGAGTGGTGGCGAGTGCATTCTCCTTCCTCGGTGAACACTGCTGGTCACCCTGTTTGATGATCCACCAAACACCATCGGTGCAGGCCGCGTTTTTTCGGAACCAGCCATTTATTCGTCCACCAACAATAGAAATTAATGTTTCTCACTTGAACACTCTGTAGAGCTGTCGCTGTCGTGACAAGGCCGTGTATACTCCAAGTCTACATGTAGGATGAAGAGTAACAGTTACTGCTGATAATGAAGTTTGCGCTCGTGGACAATACAACGCTGTGTGAAGTAAATTGTGGCTCCACAATCGCTCTGAATGCTAATGTGTGTCCATGGAATACTAAAACACAATAGGCGCGGTGCAGCTAACGCCCAACGTGGATGAAACGGACAACAGCAGCGACTAGAGCGTTCTCCTTCCTCGGTGAACACTGCTACAAGACATTATGCTTGATGATTCACCAAATACCATCGTTGGGGGCCAAGTTTTCCGGCGCCAGCGAGTTGTTCGTCCACCAACTATTAAACTTTGATGAGTCTTTCTTCAACACTTCGTAGAGCAGCCGCGCAAGGCCTTTCCTTCGCGTTAGCATTGTTACTTTTTACTACAATGAGTAGTGTTTCTCCGAAAATAAAGTCAGCTGCCTGGGCATTAGGCATTAGACTGATTAGTGCTGCCTAGGCCTAGCGCCTGGACTTGGAAAAAAATTGATTTTGCAAGTCTTCAATCATGTTTGCATGTACGCGCTATCCAGCCATGTGGCGTGAACAGATAGCCTGACGTGAAAGGTAGCGCGGGCGCGCGCGAGTCGATCGTACGCGCTCGCGGACGTGTCTGACACGTGAAACGAAAAGATTTTTTTGGCGGGTAGTCGGCAAAAATTAAGTGACGGTCCCTTTAGTCCTTCGCGTATGCAACTGTGTCTGTGATCTCTTTTCTATGGCCTATATCATGGGCCAACCGCGCGGCGCGCTGCCTTCATTACATCATTCAGCTGCAGTCCGCGGGGACTCCGCGCACTGCGGAAAATCAAACACCGCATTTTCCCTCTGGTTTGAAATGAACTTTCGTACGGAACTGGAGTTCACGCGCCAAAATTTAGAGATCGCGTAGGTAAAGGAACAAATCGAGCAAAAACGGATGAGCTCGGACGAGACATTGTGGGTTTGAATGCATGCTTTCAGAGCGTGATGAAGGCAAGTTAGGCAGCGCGCCACGCGCACGCAAGCACCCATAATCACTACGTCTTGTAGTTGCATACTCGTACTCTTGGGTTATGGACTAGCTCTTGGTCATGGACTCTTGCCAGTCTTGGTCATACACAATCAAAATCTCTACTACAAAAAAAAGCTGCAAGAGGTCTACACAGTACTACAGCCTCAGGGGCGTTACTTGAGCCACACACACGCACGTCTAGACGGATTCAGTGCACCGGTGAATGGCATGCAGTGCCTACTCCGCTGATCCGATCCATCCAGTGCTGCCAAAATAATAAAAGAGGAAACTGAAAAGAATAGTTTTATTTCAGGAACAGTTACATGGAGAGAGAATCGGAGAAGCAATGTTCTGCTGATATGAATAATTGATACCGTGTTTGGCGTGATAGTCAAGCCTGTGTGCCGCGTGCAAATAGCGAGGATCTCAGTGACTTGTGCAAGGACGATACGAGTAACAGCAGAAGAAGGATGTGATTCCTGGGCGCGAGTATTCTCGCCTAGATACCGTAGCGGAAGTCGCGGTGCATCAATCGCCCTGCACCGAGCTACAGCGCGTTTGTAGACTAGGAAAAAGCTACTTGGTGGTTCGCGGAGCAGCCTACTGCTGCCTGGAATGCACGACCGTTCGTGTGGACGATGATTTCCTGACGTGGCCAATGAACATCAGGTACTACAATGAATCAATGATGTACTGAGTATGTGTTATGACTGTACAGTCACTGAGTGTACATGTAAAGCAAGCCACTGAATATACCAAGTACGCCCCTAAACCTACTGGCAGTACTGCGTAGATCTACCTGCCAGCCATCCCGAGTTGGCCAGGACCGTCCCGCTATCGAGGGTGGCACTGAATAGGCACCCAAAAGTCAGGGCTCACCACGACCATACAACGCGTCAATAACGGTCATTTGGATTTGACCAATCAGCGCACGGCAAAACGGGCTGTTTCTTGCAATTGTGGGGTGTTTTCTGAGTGGAGCTTGGCTGTATTCGTTGGTTTTAGACATTAGGCCATTGTGGATTCGTGTTCAGAAGGTGTGTCTTTGGAGGGTTACCGTCTCGAATTTTTCGATTTGGCCTTCGTTTGGCTGAGATCGGATGGTGAAATCACTCAAACGCGAAGGCGTGCGAACAAGTGAATGAAGAGAAAATTAATAATCGGGGACGGTAAACCGATAGAGAATTCCAAGACCTTGAAAATGAGCTATCGATGGTGAGAATCGGCCAAGGAGAGCCGCTGTTCTACTTTTTTGAAGACATCAAGGTCGGCCGTGCGTCGCGGCGCGCACCAACAAAAACTGGCAACCGTGCGCATATCTGCATGTGCAACAAGAAAGGACAGAGGAGACAGCAAGCGTTCCAAGTGAAGAGTTTACCTTCGTGTTGACTCAAGCTAAAGGACTCATGCCAGTCAGGGATCATACCAGTCACCTCTCATCATGGTCATGACTAAGGGATTCATTTGTGGCCAGGAAACTCCCCACTCGCAGCGTGAAAGCTGCGAGGCCAAACAGAAAAGAGTGCCGAGTCGCGATCAGGAAACGCTGAGTTCTACTGACAACATTGGTTAGCTAGGCGCGGCAAATTCTTGTAGATGCCAGGACTCAAGTTCACCAGTACCTCACGGACATATCTTGGTCGACACCCACCAGCGGATTGAGAAAAATGACTTGGAGAAAGGACGTCTTCTCCGCGTGTCTTTACCGACATCAAACAACAAGATTCGCTTCGGCACTGGCCCTTCGCTGTACAGAGTAGACCAGGGAGTCGTAAAATACCGGTATTTTACGACTAGACTGTACATCGCTGTACATCGATGAGCATGAACTCGGGTGCGTAGCCGCTATGACTGCACAAACTCTGGCTTTGGCGGCAACGCCATGTTTTCAAAATGGTGGTCGACGCTTTTTGAATTTTGTATGGTGGTGGTGAGCCCTGAAAGTGCATTTTTCGCATGCCTCACACAGCTACATTTGTATACGTTTTCACACCTACAGTACAGTGCTGGCAACTGAAATCCGACCCCCTGAGCGGTGGGTTCACATTCTAGCGGTATCTGTTTCGTAGTTTCACCATCCCGTGTAGGGTCTTTGCGATGTGAGCGCACCGCTCAGGGGGTCGGTCGGATTTCAGTTGCCAGCACCGTGGGTACTCCTGTTCAGACAAAAGTCAGACAAAATCAGCCATTCAAAGCCAGGCTAGTACTCTCTGCCTTGCTCCGATGTTCAATGAAAGCTCTGGTCGCAGTTTAGGATGCACAGCAGGGACTACAGTATCCATGATCTGCTTATACACCACCACACTCCATTATTCACCCCGGTGTCTGGAGATATGTGGATTTTGTGTAGAAAAAAAGAAAGAAGAACATGTGACGGTCTTTTGGGCCAAGGAGAGACAAGTTAGCATAATTCGAGTATGATTAATTTCGTCGGATTGCCACCTCTGTTAACTGTCCAGACTCAACGGAATGAAGCTAGCTGCCTTTTAAGCTGCTGCGATGTCTCTGCGGGACAGATTGAAGAGGTGTGTTCGCCAGCTGAACCTTGAATTGAACAACGAAGAGATCACCGACTACTTGGTCGGCGACAATGTCCTTTCGTCGGCAGAGTACGATTTGATCTTAGCGCGGGTATGCAAGGACGGTCGGCACGCTGGCAATCGGCAACTGGTCAGCTTGATCATCCAGAAACATCAGACGCTAATGGCGCGCTTCATGATCCGGCTGCGGGAGCTGCAGCCTGATCTTGCCAATGATGTGGACACCTGCAGCGTCGACCATTCTAGCGCTGACTTCTACTTGTTTGAGGTATGGTCAATTCCCTATTTAATTTTTTTGTACTTTGAAGTATGAATAAACAAAAGAGTAAATTGTCGTGTCCGTTCCCGAAGGGAACTTACGACGGCCGCTAACACCTGGTAAACCCTAGAGGTGGATGCAGCGCCTAGCGGTGGGTCTTTTGTGTGAATGGTTAGCATTAATGAACAGCATGCTTTTCAGGAATACAATGAAACCTGCCTAAGGCGACCGCTCAAGGGGCCTTCAAACGTTTGGTCGCTGTGTACAGACGGTTTCCTTATCAAGGGCCGTTGTACTGGAAGTACAGTCAACTTCGCTAATAACGACTGCGGATATAACGACAATTCGCGAATAACGACAGAATTTCCATGCCCAGAGCAAAGTCCCATCCCACTGTAATACATATAATGAGACTTCGGGTATAACGACACTTCGCGAATAAGGACACTTTTTTGATGCCCCGCCGAGTGTCGTTATAAGCGAAGTTGACTGTAACATCCCATTTTATTTTTATTGCTATTTATTCATATTTCTTTAGGGCAGTCCCCACAGACCTAAGGTCTCCTTACGGGGTATCCTAGCCAATTGCGATACGAAATTGCCTTGGTGAAGCAGCCAGGCGGACCCCCCTTGCTCCTGGTCATAGTGGCGCTGGTCCTCTGGGACAGGAGGTACCGTATTTCCCCGATTATAGGTCGCACCTTTTCAAATACACTAAAAATCAAGGGTAAAAAAAGGGGGTGCGACTTACAATCGTGACTTACTACTGAAGTCAATTATATCAAAACAATATTTCTCAAACCTGGAAATGGGGGTGCGACTTATAATTGAGTGCGACCTATAATCGGGGAAATACGGTATCCATATCAGAGTGGTCGCCCTGACAAATTTTACTGCATGTAGTGTCAACTTGGCTAATAGTGACTGCGGATATAACGACAATTCACGATTAACGACGGGATTTTCATGCCCAGAGCACAGTCCCATCCCACTGTATACATAGAATCATTAGAATGAGACTTCGGGTATAAGGGCACTTTTCTGATGCCCCGTCGAGTGTCGTTATACGCAACGTTGACTGTACATACACCGGCTGGAGTTGCAGCTTTAAAAAATAGTTGACTGGAAATAACATCCTTTGATGCGATAGTTGTGGTGGCTCTCAAGGACAGGCCTTATCAGAGTGGTCACCTTGACAGGTTTACCGTAACGGAAGGTGCACTTTGCCTTACAGGAAAGCCCCGCGAATCTTCCTTGTCCAGTTCCTGTTTTCATTACCATCATCATTGCACTCAGAAGGCGGACCCATTTCAGGGCCTTCAGTGTCATTTTGAAAGTTTTATGATATGGCCCAATATCTGAGAAAATCGACCTTCGGGGCTGTTTTGGTGAAATTGATTTTTTTTATTGCAAATTGATGTCTTGCCTTTGTAGAGTATTGTGACTTCGTTTCACGGCCATCACACCAATATTGACCATGTAGAAATGCATTTTACAGTCAGGAGTCATGTTCATGAATTGTTCTTTTTTTTACAATTTTGAAAGATCAGTGTGTTTGGAGCCACCGAAAATTGTTTCTATGTGATATCAATAGCCAACTAATATAGTAAAGTGTTTTGACTGTTCAGGTACTTCATTTCCAGCATTCCGTGACTTTATTGAGGTTGTGTAGTTGCAACAGCAGCAATAGCAGCATTAGAAGGAGAGGTGATTTATCTGTTCTCCTGGTGATGGACATACTTGACAGGATAGTCTGCAGCAGATTTTGACGGAACACCATGATACATGTAACAGCATTCACTTACTTATTGCGAAGGAGTCAAACAGAGCAAATGCGTCCAGATTCGCCTTGTTGCACTTTGTGGAGACTGACCATTTCCAAACATCAGTAACACAGCCTGACAAGCGTTTCACACCACCAACTCAAAAGTAACAGAATGTTACTCGAGATTGCCCAGCCTCATGTGCTCCGTGATGGTCTGATTCGCCATTAACATGTTATTAGCTCGAGTATCGAGCTTGCCATCCAAAACATTTTAGGATCATCGTCACAAAGAAAACTCGCATCATTTCGTGCTGTTTTAGAAGGTCTGGCGTGACACTCAGGAAACAGTTCTGCCACTCGCGCAAGGGCGCCCAGCGACCTTGCAAGCGGCGTACCCTCAGGAATCCACCTGGTTGTCCTTGCCTGGAGCTGTAGCAGCTATCGCTGAGGCAGACTGTGGTTGGCCTTGATCATACTTATCCAGGCCAAGTCCTCATCATCGTCGCCCCCGACAGGTATGTACCGCGTGTCACTTGCGATCGATTCGCCTGACATGCGCTCTCAGAACTAGAAGCGCTGTCGCCGCTTGACAGGATATCTACAAAGAACGATGCATCACCGTCCATGGGATCGCGGCTGCTGTGCTCCGTGAGCCCAATAACCAACTGACACAAGAATCGCCTTCAGTTTTCTTCCGCCATTGTCGTCTCTGCGCTTTGCTTTGACGGAATCGATTTTTTGCGAACAAATCTGTTTTTAGTGTTTTCTCAAAAAAACGCGTAGCCCCGAAGGTCGAAAGTCTCAGATATCGGGCCATATTATACTGCCTGTTCTGGATTATAAGCCGTACCTAAAACACTTGTAATCAACCCCCCCCCCCCAAAAAAAATTCAATACTTCAATGGTCAAGTGAACGGTTATTTACACGGTGGATGTCTGTATTTCGCGACATAAAACCTGGGTGCGACCTGCACCCCGAAGAATACGGTACTGCAATGGAAAGTAATTAAGGAGCTCAGAGGCGTGTGGTATAGGCCATTGGCGTGTTCAGCTGGATGGTATGTGCTGGTTCCCCATGCAGCCAGCCCAATATGTGTCTTTTCTTTGACGTTCTGCAGAACGCTGAGTATGCACCCGAAATGCACGGGCTGCCACCCAGTCGCCCCGGCTCTCCGTCAAAGCTGGCCACGGCAAAGGATCGGGAGATCGAAGACCTGCGGAAGGAGCTGGAGGAGGCGCGCGTGCAGGTGGCGGGACTTTCAAGCACCTTCCTCGAGTTGACGTGCAAGGGTTTCCGAGAGGGGACGGATTTTGACCGCGAAGGAGCTCTTGCCAAGGCATGTGTTCGCCACTGCCAGCTATACCGGAATAACTATGGGGTGCTAGAAAAGGTAAGCGTGGCACAGTGGTGATGTTCCGAAGCCTGACTACTATTATTGTTGTAGGCTTTTCCGCGTTGGCATCGCCAAGCAAACTTGGCTAGCCTTCGCATAAGCTGCTCCATAATAATGAGACGAAACGATGCATGCATGTATATACGATCTAGGACAGAACCAAGGTTGCGGACATATTTTTGAAGAAAGCTGCAAGTTGTGTTGAGGAACACAAAGTTGCAAACACTATGAAAGTAAACTGCAAGAAATGTGTTGGGGTTGATCTCATGATTATTGTAGTCACAGGTTGTGTTAGTAGCATGAAAGGTTGTGTTTTCACAGGTATATTGTTTATATTCCTATTCTTTTACAGGATAATATTTTCACAAAATATGTTAGCCTCACCACTGTATTAAAGCCAACAAATATTCGGCGCGTATCTATTTTCGGCCTGGGCATTTTGCTCGAAAATTTGTTAGAGCTGAAATTTAGTTTTGCAAGGTTAAGTGTGACAGTGTAGACGGGCAGCAGCAGTACAGGCTGAAATTTTGAGGTGGCCGAAATGTGGCTTAGCCCTGGGAGGCCAAAATTCAAAGGTGCCGACATTTGTAGACTTGAAACGTATTCAGGATCTAGCAGTGCTTGTACATTGCTGCGTTCTGGTTGATGTGTTGGCCTGAACTGGGCCATCATTTCAGTACGTGTATATGACAGTGATCATGAATGGCATGTTTGGGCATCTAAACTGCTGTTTGCAAAGTTATAATTCTTCTTTGTTGTGTTGTGTTGTGTTGTGTTCGCATCCAGTTTCAAGTAAGAGGTGCCTTGCCACCCAACACGTTTGGCTGCAATGCCTGCGCGATGGACGGCTACATATACGCGTCGGTGTCGCGTGGCCAATCACGCGTGCGTGAGCTGCTGCGCTGTCCCCTGAACGATCTGTACAGCGGCTGGAGACCGCACACGCTGCCGCTTAGTCGCAGCGTTACCTGGGGCCACGTGAAGATCTTCACCGACGGCGCCCATCTGTACTGTGCCGCTACGGAGAACCGGCAGAGCTCATTGTACACGGTGTTTGCTTGTCACAAGGGCGACTGGTCTTCAGTGGTCGACCTGCCGGCTGTACGCTACGACTTCCGTATCGCCATCGCTCACAACCAGTTGATTATCGCCGGCGGCTACGTCCAAGACCACGTTCCGTGCCATGACGTTATGGCGAGCCCCATCGACTCCGATAGTCCTCACTACGGCACGTGGCATAGGATCGGCGTGGACAAGTGTTTCCGCAGCATCCCAGCCATTGTGTCCGACGACGATCACGTGTACGTACTGGGCGGCACGGGAAACTGGGACGATCTCACTAGCCAGGTCACCGTGACGACGTTGCGTCGCCACTCGCCCTTCCACTATGATCTCCAAGCAGGCGCCATTTGCAATCTCCCCGTGTTCTCAACGTTTGCCGTGAACGTCGGTAAGAGCATTGTGATTGCTGGTGGACGATTGCTTGACGATCAGCACGACGAGAAGGGAAAGATCACCGGCCAGTGTAGTGTCTACGATCCCATCAAGGATCGCTGGCTGCCACTGCCGTCACTCGTCATCGCCCAGAGCAACCCGGAGGTCGTTGCCCACGGCAACAAGCTCTACTGCTTCTGGGGCCAGATGGGCACGGACTACGACATGGCTGAACGGCAGTGCGAGCAGATTCAGGTGCTGAATTTCTGAGCGACATGCGTATGCCAGTAGGTGGATCTCTGTCTGCGACCATAGACTCACTGCTGCTGTCATGCGATGAACAATAATAATATTATTTTCGAGTAAGGGGAAACAGAATTTTATTGCAACTCATTCACGCTTGCACGATCATCAGGCAGATTTGTTTCTGGTATGAAACGGGGAATGGTTTTTTTTATTTATGCGAACGCGATTTTTGGATTATTCTGGTATGAAACGGGGAGTGGGTTTTTTATTTATGCGAACGCGATTTTTGGTCTCTAACCACTTTCTGGTAGGTCTGATTAGCCGTGGCTGGCTATAAAAACCCTGCAATCGCCGTGCAAAGTGGTCATTGGCTACCCCAGCCATATATTGCTTGGAATAAAACTAATACTAACTAAACTGATAGAATCACAGTCCTGCCGCCTCCAGGACCTCTAGACTTTTCTGTTTGATGCATTCAATTTGCTCCTCTTCTCAATCACGCTTGGAGTTTAATTTAAAGAATCTAATTATCTGCTTGAATAGGCGCTGGCGCTGAAGGCAAAGTCATTTTTAGGGACATGTTTCCTTTTGATCAAGAAAGTCATGGCATTTTGCATTCAGTGATACTGCGTTCAGTAGGCGAAGCTGGAAAAATTATTTGCACCATTGCTCTTTCACCTTTTGCATTTTTTCTCCACACATTGTACATAGAAAATAATGTGAAGCAAATCGGCTTTGTACCGATCACTCCGCGAGAATTGACCTGCGTTTTTTTCTTCGTCTAATAGTCAGTGATTGTATTTATTATTATTATTATTATTATTCGCCTGTGTGGATTCACAGGAAGTGTGTGTCACGAAGTCTGAAGAAAACGTTGAACGGTCTCTGCTTGGATGACGACTACACCATAGCTCAGTGGTTAGAGCATCGCTGGCTACAAGCGAGGGTCCCTGGTTCGAGTCCTGGTGGTGACAGTCAATTTTTTCTTCAGACTTTTCCCGTTTGTCTCTTTCCCTCAAAACCAGTTAATATTATTATTATTATTAATTTTAATATGGCAATAAGTAGGACGAGCTGAAGCGACATGTGGACTACTTTATAAACAATGTAAGCGATGGAGACGATGCAAGAAACAATCTAAAGGGTAAGGAAAATACATGTAAGAAGAAAAAGGCAATGGAAAAAAAGATGATTCGAACAAGTTTTCGTACAACACTCTTCAGGAATCACCGTTGTACTAAAGAACAAAATGAGAACAAAGGGAATAATATAGCAATAAAGGTAGGGTGACACGATACAATGACAGCACTGGAATATCGAGGTGCGATTTCTCACAAAAGCGTGCAGAACACAAGGGTATACAAGTAAGAACTAAGCGTGACAAGTACTAGTGTGTATCAGCAACAAAAACAAAAAAGTGAGAACGAACGATAATAATAACAATAATAAACAAGAAGGTGACAAAACACATTTAGGCACAAGTGGCAACAACGTTGCCACACTACACAAAAGAACATTATTTGAACAATTTTAGGGTAATAACACTATCTTTCTGGACACACAAATTCGGCTTATGAATGCGCTGACAAACAGCTTCCAAAACTTGTAACTGCAAAAGATAACCATGACGAGCACGGCACAAAACAGAAAAACAGGAATCAGAATAAGTACGACAACAGTCAGTACTAGAAACCAAATGATTATTATTATATATATATATATATTTACTTATCACACTCCACTTCACATCCTTCCACCCAGTGCGCAATCTGAGAGGCCCAAACGCGGGAGGCCTAGGAAAAACCCATCACCTACACGGCAGGATAGTTCCCTGCCGCTGTCTGCCGCTCCCCCTCTGACATCTGTGTTGGACGGGCTTGAGCATGGCAGCTCTTTGGAGGTGCGTGCGGAACCGCCATTGGTGCAGCCCTCGGGTGTGCCTAAGTCTGTACCTCTGGGTGCTTTGCATGGGGCTGTGCCTCGAGTGGTGACAGCACATCTGCCTCCCCCTGACCCTCCTCCTTCGAGGTATGTGTTGGTGGAGAGCACCCGCGGCGGTCGATTTGTCCCACCGGAACTAGAGCTGGATTCAACAAAAAGACCAACAACCATGGCTGCAATAAAAACACCAGCTTCACATCCAACAACAACGCCAGGTTCACATCCAACAACAACAACAACTAATCCACAAAACAAAGCAGCAAATGACAGACCACGGAGATCTACAGCAGATTACAACCGGACCTATGAATTCACGGTAAAAATACAAAGGAAACAATCGGAAAGGACGATGACTGACATGAAGGCAACGGCATTCACGGTTGGCGTGGGTGGTGAAGGTGAGACGCAGGACGATGCAAGTGAGGAGGAGAGTCGAACCGCTGTGGATGACGGAGCAGGTTCTGATTCGGACAGTGAGGGGGAAGGTGAGCTGAGTGAGGGTGAGAGTGAGTGTGAGGGTGTGCGCGTGAGTCGAGATTGTGTGCGTCCGTCTCGTAATAAGTCTTCAGTATACAATCATTTGGTTTCTAGTACTGACTGTTGTCGTACTTATTCTGATTCCTGTTTTTCTGTTTTGTGCCGTGCTCGTCATGGTTATCTTTTGCAGTTACAAGTTTTGGAAGCTGTTTGTCAGCGCATTCATAAGCCGAATTTGTGTGTCCAGAAAGATAGTGTTATTACCCTAAAATTGTTCAAATAATGTTCTTTTGTGTAGTGTGGCAACGTTGTTGCCACTTGTGCCTAAATGTGTTTTGTCACCTTCTTGTTTATTATTGTTATTATTATCATTCGTTCTCACTTTTTTGTTTTTGTTGCTGATACACACTAGTACTTGTCACGCTTAGTTCTTACTTGTATACCCTTGTGTTCTGCACGCTTTTGTGAGAAATCGCACCTCGATATTCCAGTGCTGTCATTGTATCGTGTCACCCTACCTTTATTGCTATATTATTCCCTTTGTTCTCATTTTGTTCTTTAGTACAACGGTGATTCCTGAAGAGTGTTGTACGAAAACTTGTTCGAATCATCTTTTTTTCCATTGCCTTTTTCTTCTTACATGTATTTTCCTTACCCTTTAGATTGTTTCTTGCATCGTCTCCATCGCTTACATTGTTTATAAAGTAGTCCACATGTCGCTTCAGCTCGTCCTACTTATTGCCATATTAAAATTATTGTCTCCTCGTCGAATTTTTAAATTATTATTAATATTTTTTATTTATTTTTTATTTTATTTATTGCAACATCTCAAGACTCGGCGGAAACACCGGCCAATATTACGAGAGTGGGTGATTGCCAACCACGGCGATAAATAGAAATAAGGGGAGGGAAAAAGAAAGAGTAGCAAAACGCACAGCAACAACAACTCCGTAAAGAAAGATAATGTCAAAATTAATAAAAACAGTGAAAAACACAGAGACGCAAAGGACATGTTATTATTATGAAATGACCCAAAGACAATGTGCCTATCGAGGGGTTCATTTGATTGAAAGAACAGTAGATGTAGATGTATGTACAAAGACAAGTAGGGATTGATGAGGAGAGAAATGGGGAAAATCAAAAATCCACTGCAAGGTGGCGGAATTCCGTTGATTGCATAAGCATGGTCAGCGGTAAATTCCCTGAGGGCAGCTTTGAACTTATAGAGCGAGGCTTCCGATGTGAGACTGGGGGGTAAACAGTTCCATAGAATAGCAGTTCTTATACTACTGTGACTTGTTACAGACCAAGAGACTATTGAGCTGTTTTCCTTGAGCGTGCATGGCAATTAGACTCGGGTGAAGAGCCAATGATCAAATTAATGAGGACCAAGGAACTACATTACATTGGACATACAGCGTAACTTGTGGTTCTTTGGTCCTCAATTCTTCTTGTAAGTGCATGGCAGTCTGTCGTTTCTAGCTTTAAACTTTTGATCACGCAATTTCCTTTGTGCCAGAAGAGTTGGCTAGTTTTCAATGTGTTTATTCAATCGTAATTGCACGGACAGAAGAACGAGCAATTGCTGTTTCGCAACTCTACACCGTGAATGTCACAAGCCCAGTGTAACAAGTACCATGTCACGTGATAAGTAGCATGATATGGAATCTTTGAGACGGGGGGGGGGGGGGGCATGCTGTGAGGAACTCGGGACGTGTGTGGCGCCTACTGCCTAGGCATGCTTCGTACTCATATCATTCTTCTGAAATGATTACCGTATTTCCAGAAATAGTAGGCCGGTCTACTATTTTTTCAACCTCGTCCGAACCCGGCCTTGTAATCGAGGACGGTCTTGTATTCGAGGACGGTCTTTTATTCTTTCGACCCAGTTTGACCCCCGGTCTTCTATTTCTCGCCACACAGTTTTACCCCCGTTCTTCCATTTTCTTCTACACAATTTGAGCACGGTCTTCTATTTTTTCCCACAGTTTGAGCACGGTCTTCTATTTTTAACACAAGAACAAAGACTCATTTAGTAGGCCCGGTCTTCTAATCGGAGACGGTCTTTTATGTTTTCAATCGCCCCCTGCCCCGACCTTGTATACAAGGAAGGCGTTGTATACGAGGACGGCCTTTTATTTGCGGAAATACGGTATGTAGCGGCTCGAAGAGACCAACATGACGATGTGATGATTGTTAGGCTTGGGGTCCATTTTGATGAATGGATCATCCGATTACGTCATCTGAATTGTTCTGTAAGAAGTGGAAGCACGAGCATGAAAAGTTCCACATGTTTTTCCTGTGACCGAGATTGCTTGTATTCTACACCTTCCACTCCCACCTCTAGTAGACTATACTCAAACCACCTCTGCTGCACCCCTAGTAGTACCAACACTGTGATCTTCACAGCTACACTCTGCCACCATAATCCCTCATCCAGGCTAACTATTATCCAAATACATGTAAAATATGTTACACTTGGTGGCAAAGATATAACACGTATGGTTGAGTCGAGTCGGCCCCTTCACAAGACTTAGTATACACGACTTTTTTTATAGTCTCCTCTTCTGTATACACCAAGTGTGTGGAATGTGCAGCTATCACGCTTGTATCCGAGACCTGCTCAGCCGTCCCGATGGCAAGGCGCTTAGACCAAAATAATATCGCCGCTATTTCCGTTCGTGTCGATGGCGGAATTCCGCAACTGTGGCTGACGGAACACGGATGGAGCGTTTTACCTACAGTAGTACGAAGTCTTGTTCTTCACGAATCACGATAGAGGGCCATCAGGCTTTCCACACCAGAGGCTTGATTTCGGTAGTGTCACAGCCACATGAAAGTGTACAGTCTTTGGAAGATATGACTAGTGTGTTCGGCCTTTCATTACGTATCTAATATTGACTGAGTACGAGGTCAATATAGAAAATAAAAGCCGAGTAAAAGACCGAGGCGAAGCCGAGGTCTTTTACAAGGTTTTATTTCCTATACTGACCAAGTACGAAGTCAATATTAGATTTATCACGACAAACAGTCCGTATTTCAAATTCCAGAACGATAACATCATGAATCCCGGTTTTATAATTGCACAACCGTTGCACCACCACCTACTCATGCAGTGACAATGCTGCACTAGCCACCGTTCAACTGCGCAACCCCTAAGCAGTCAAATATAAGCAGTCAATATAGCCCTAAGGAGTGAAATATGCAGGAATATTTGACTGCTTAGGTATAGCGAAAATCAATGGGAGTCAATACTATAGGGAGTGATAAAAGTAGAATATTAAAAATAATAATAGGATTGGTCGAGCCAAAACAGACTTCAACCAGGGCCAGTTCATTGAGCGGCACTGACAGTCTGTGCTTGTAGCATTTTACGCCTCGGGTAGAAACACTGTCCGTGACTACTACATACATAGCGCTCATGCATCGTAGGATAGTCGCCTGATGATTGCAT